TTAAATAAAAAAAAATATTTGTTCAATTCTATATTTTTTTCAAAAATCGATATTCTCATCAACATTAAATAAAAAAAATATTTGTTCAATTCTATGTAAGCTTTTAATAATTGTTATTTATGTTTTTCGACACATTCTTATAAAATACTAAAGCTTTTTTTAAAAAATTATTTAATTTTCTTTTTAGTTAATAATCCATGGATTAACAAGGATAAATCATTTTTCTAAAGGAAAAATTATGTAAAACACAAATAAGAAATAGTTAACTGCAAAATTTTTGATTAAATATTTTTTTTCACTTTTGATTTAATATATTTTTATAGATTCACATCATAAAACGGACTATCAAACTAAAATGATTTCTAAATGATTTTATATACATTTTTTTCAACCCGCAGCAGTAGCGCAGCAAAAAAACTAGTTTAAGCTATTTAACAATCTTCATACTTTATGATGAGCTCATATCTTAAATATTTGTAGCACAATTTTTTTTTCTTTAGTAATCCTATTTAATATAGGGCTAGAAATAAGAGCATACCTCAAATTTTTCATATTATTCATTATCTATTTATTTCTCATTTAATTTTTAATTTAGCTAACTAATGTTTGACCAACTATACCTATATTTTATTAAAATTATTTTTTACATGTAGGGGTTTAATTGTAAAAAAAAAAATCCAACTCATTTAATTTTTAATTTGGTTGACTAAAGTTTGACCAACTGTATCAGCATTTTATTAAAATTAATTTTTAGATGTAGGGGTTTTATAGGAAAAAAATTCCAATTTATTGACTAAATCGCTTAAACCAAAATATTAAAGGACCTAATTTTTACATGAGGAATTAAATGTCATGAAAATAAAATATAGGAGCTAAAATAAATTGTTGAAAATTTTTAGAGATCAAAATGAATTTTTGCAAAAACTTCATCCCCCCTTGTCGTTTCCGATGTGCCATACATATGACAAAAACATTTACTTTTTTGATCCATCTAGTCCAATCTCATCCACTGTCCAATCCAGTTCTATATAGTCTAATCTAGTCCAGTTTCGTTTCTCTCGTTCTATTCAGCATACCGAACGCAAAATTATGAAATGAGACTGGAATATGTTTTTTTTTTTTTAAATAGATGAAATGATTAATGATTAACAAATCATAAAATTCCATGCCATTCAGTAAAATACAAGTTTGTTCATGCACTATACTACTAGCGAATGGTGCAATGAAAAAAGTAATGAGTGAGAAAATTGTTATTTGAATTGCAACCTTTGATTATATCAAATCGTGTTTTATAGCAATATAATATTTTTATTTAGAATTGAAAGTTATTTATATAAATTTGGTTAACACAGAGTAAAAAGCTTCAAATACGAAAATAGTATATCATATTTATATTTAAGTTGCATTGGTTATTGATATCTTTTGATATAAAGTATTACAAAAACAAAATACACATGCTATAGTAGACATGACATTTGGGGCAATATTGTTTTAAAAAGCCATTGAAATTAATAAATTACTTTTTTTGCTAACATTTCCTAGAAAGTAAAAGAAAGAAAGAAAGAAAAATTATAAACATATAAGTAAACAACACTATAAGATTTAGTAGATATTTATAAAGTTTTTTAAAAACGCAACAATGAGGTCTCATTTCCCAATTTCGTAAGTTATGATGTCAATTAACAGTATTATTGATTAGAAGAGAGTTGAAATGGATAAATTAGCAGATCTAATTAATACTTCTTTATATTTTTTTTTTATAAATTTTCTTTTAAAAAAAGATTTGTTTATCTTTATGCATGGATTCTAAAATAAAAATTTTAAATAGTTTAAATAATAAATTTTAATAAAAAATCTAAAAAATATGCCTTTGTATTTTTTTTTTTTTTATGGAGATTGTATGGAAAAAATAAAGTAACAATTAATTACAAAAATTAACAAATAAAAAAATAATTTTTTAATTATTATTGAATATTCATGAGACAATTTTTTTTTTGAAAGCAAGTACATTAGGTTTATATATATATATTCACAAAATAATCAATAATATCGGTATAAAAAAACTCCAATCGTTTTTAAAAAATATGGTATTATATATTGGATGGTTTTTTAAAACATTATTTTATATAAAGAGAAATTAATTTAAAGATATTAAAAAAAAATAAATAGAGAATGGTTGGTGTTCTATGTTTGGATAAATAGTTGGTTTTCAATAAAATTCATGATCTAGTATTTTTTTTAATACACAACGACTATACCAAATGTGTTTATAGTTCGCAATCTAAAATAAAAAATATCACAAAATACTTAATATGTAGAGAATATTTTGAATTAAGTTGAAGTCAATGGATTTAAATAAATATTATTGAAAATTTAGCATGAATAAATTTTGATAATAAAGAAGAAATATATAAAACATGCAAATCTCATTTTGTTTTCTTTTTTAAAAAATATATTTTCTTCCAGGACATACATGCTTGAACTTGTGATGGAGTGCAATACCAACTAACCAACCAACTAACCAACCAACTAACTAACTAACTAACTAACTAACTATATATATATATATATATATATATATTCAATTCTTACTTTTAATTATCAATTAATTATTTTTAAAATTATTATTTTCAAAAATATATGAGCCGAATTATGAGTAATACACATCTAGCCTTTTGATTAAACATGTATTTAAAACCATGCTACTCTCATATAAAAATTATAACAATTCATTGTATACATTATATTGAATTAGTTTCAAAGAAGAAAAATAACCATGTTCAAAATTTTTTTATTAAAAAATAAAACAATAGAAACAAAAATTACACATGTTATCAAGTAAAATCTCCTTAAAAAGACCAAGGACAAAAATAATTGGATGAGAATTTATAAAAAATGAAAAATTAAAGAAATAAAATGTAAATAATAAGAATAATATAATTTTTGATATATATATATATATATTTCTTACAAGGTTGTGTGAAAAAATTATAATGATATTTTTTCCACAATTATCACAAAATTCAATGAGAATTTTTTAAAAATATATATATATATATATATTTCTTTCTTACAAGGTTGTGTGAAAAAAATTATAATGATATTTTTTTCACAATTATCACAAAATTCAATGAGAAATATTTTAAAACAAATGGACAAAAAAGATGTTGTCTGCTTTGCTTTTTCATCGAAAATTTGAAACTACTTTTTTTTGGTATTTCGAACCCAATCTCTTAGTTAATGTTGGTCCAAAACACTTAAAAATCAACAAAACAACTTTAAGAAACTTGTTGAGAACCTTGAAACTTATTTTAATACACTTAAAAAACCAAATCAAATTCAAATATATTTTGAATTCATAATCTCTTTATTCCAATCATTCCACAACTTAAGACAACTATAGACAAATTCTCCTTGCCATTATCAGCTGCCAATGAGACCAAGGTATATCAATGGTCTTGGTATATGTAGATAAAAATTTTACAAGATTGACAAATTTTATTACACTATATAATGGATTGTTGATGTTGGTTAGAAGCTTCTGGATTGTAGAATGGTTTAGGAGAATTATGTTTATGGACATATGGAGTAAGGGTTAGTTATGCCGATAGTTGTTAGAGAATAATATACATTATATTTGAGATGATTATTTGACATGTTATCAAAACCTTAATTAACAAATGGTTATGAATTCGAATCTCATCATCAATATTTTCTCTTCGATTAAAAAATATAGTAGTACAAAGTAGTGCAACTCTGTAGAAGTTTTAAATTCAAAAAATTTTTACTTGAAAGGATGTGTTAGTGTTAAAAAATAATATAAATTATATCTGAAAGTTTCACTCAACAATTTAAACTTTTAGATTGATATAGTGCTTTGACAATTACCGTAAGAAATTGTCCAAGTAGAGAATGGATTAATGAAAGGGTATACAAAGTTTTTACCAGTGATTGATGAGTTGAGTTGTTATTCTGGTGGTAGGGGATCCTTGAGGTTTTAAGTATAATGGTCGTTAGCTGTGTCTTCAAGGTTCAGGTAGGGATATGACATAGATGGAGATGAAGTTTAGACATGGTGTATGCATTGACGGTGGTTTGTCTTTAGAATGTTGATGGCGTATAATATGGATGTAGTTTTTTTTCCTTTTTTTGGTGGAATGAAATTTTTATTTTCACCTTGAAATCAAATAATTATGTTGTTGTGATCACATTTGGATACAAATGTGATTGGTAGATTTGATGCTGACGTATGTTTTCTTTCTATTTTGTGCTGATGTTCATCTTTATATTGATAAGTGGTAATTAAAGGCTCTTATTTTGTCCTATTAGACTTGGTGTTTTCCAGTCAAGTCTTTGTGTTTTTTCAGACCAATCATCCAAGACAGAGAAGAGCTGGAGCATGTGGCTTGGCAGTATTTTTTTAGTTAGTTCATTAAGTTTTCGAATTTTTCACTTGTAATTCTTGTTATGTTTTCTTGATAAGCTCGTAAATTCCTTAATTGTTGCAGCCAGTTTTATCTAATAAAACGTGTCGATTAAAAAAAACTTAATTTTTTTTTATTAAGAAAACAAAAAATCAATTCCATGCCATAAATTAAAGAGGCCACTTTGATGGTGACGCCCTAACCCTAATTGTCCTTCTGTTGGTGATTGAAGAATGCAACTAGCATAATTATGATTCTGTGTGATGCTCCCTTTTGGCCTATTACCTGAATTTTTGATAGGAAAACTTTCAATCATTATCTCCTCTATGACCATCCAAGAACGCTATGAAAATGTATTGCAACAATTAATCATAAACGAAGCAAAGGATATCGTTAATTATTTGTGATGTTATCGTCTCATTTTCTCTTATAATGAAACAATAAGGCACTATATATACTCTTATAAGAGACATAACAACAGTTTACCCATCACGAATTAGGATCCCGCAAGCTTGTTGAATAGTGGGGGGCAAAAAAAAAAAAAAAAAAAAAAAGAACAGAGAGAGAACAAGAAGCATGGGTTCCAATGAACTGCCACCAACTCTTCCTGTTCTCGATTTCACCAAGGAAGATTTGATGCCTGGCACAAGTTCTTGGCTCAAAGCCTGCAGTGATGTTAGGCTAGCGCTTGAAGAGTATGGCTGTTTCGTGGTAGAGCACAACAGATTACCACTAGGACTTAGAGATGAAGTCTTTGGTGTTTTAAAGGAGTTGTTCGATCTCCCAACTGAAACAAAAATGCAAAACAAATACGAGAAGCCCTTGAATGGTTATGTTGGACAGATTGCCAAACTCCCTCTCCATGAAAGCTTGGGCATCGACAACGCAACATCTCTAGAGGGAACTCAAAATTTCACACATCTCATGTGGCCCAATGGGAATGATCGCTTTTGGTACGTATATTAATTTTTTCTCACATTAAGATTCCAAAAAATAATTATTTCTTGATCATGGTATTAATTTGTCTAACTGGTTTAAATTAATATTTTTTTCTTTTCAATCTTGATTAGTAAATATGCTTTCAAGTACGCGAATCTAGCTGCAGAGCTAGATCAAATGGTGACTAGAATGATATTTGAAAGTTATGGAGTGGACAAATACTACGACTCATACATTGGGTCTACTACTTACCTTCTTCGACTTTTGAAAAATAGAGCACCCAAAGGTGATGAGCCCAATTTAGGTTTTGTCACTCACACTGACAAGAGCTTCACAACCATACTTCATCAAAATGAAATTAATGGTTTGGAAGTGGACACCAAGGATGGCAAGAAGATCAATGTTGAGCTCTCTCCTTCATCTTTTGTTGTCGTAGCTGGTGATGCATTAATGGTGAGTCACTAATTATGATTATATATCTTTCAATATATATATATAGCGATCTAGCCATTGTCTTATAAATCCAATCAGGCCTCTTAGAGACTCGGACGAATTCTCTTCAACATCATCAGATACTGTAATTCAGCTCAGAATTAATTAATTAGTTGATTATGCTCTTATTATGATATGAACCGGCTATTAATTGTTTGTGCTCTAGGCATGGAGCAATGACAGAATAGTATCTCCTAGCCACCGAGTGATCATGAATGGGAAAATAGACAGATACTCCCTGGCACTGTTTGCTTTCAACAATGGAATGATACAAGTTCCTGAAGAACTGGTTGATGAGAACCACCCTTTAATGTACAAGCCATTGGATCATATTGGACTCCTCCATTTCTTTCGGACAGAAGAGGGCTACAAATGCAAATGCCCTATTAAGTCTTATTGTGGAGTTTAAATTGAAGGGAAAAATGAATTTAATAACTATTGCTGCACTGTATTGCTAGCTCTATATGTATTGCATTTCAATGCTTTTTTTTCTTTTCCTTTTTCTTTTATGAATCTATTGATGCTAGTCGTCCATGAATAAATTCAATGAATGTCAAATGTGATCATGGTTAGCCAACTGTTGTTGTTGTTATTTCTAAACTTACAACTTATATGCCATATAAATAATTTATAGAATAATAATTTTTTTCTGTTCAAGGTAGAAGGAATTCCTTCTAGCCAACACATGACAGTCTTTCAAGTTATCATATGTAAGTAACATTAATTGTTTTTTTTTTTAGTAAATAAAAATCTTTTATTTTATCATAATCTTTTGTCTATACAAAAATTTATTTTTTTCTGTTCTTTTTTTTTTTTTTTAAATTATAGATGATTGATTTAAATTTTCAATATATTTGTTAAACAATAAATGTCATCCAATATATAGTTGGTATAAGAGATTGTAATGTATGGGACAAAAGTATCTCCTAAAATCTTTGGACAATAAGAAATTATCATTCTAATTTCTATTGCAAAGAGAGTCTAGGACTCAAGTCATGTAAATGTATTCTTGATTTGTAAAACTCTCTATCTTGAATCGTATTTGCAAAGAGATTTTATTAGGTGAGTCAACTCAATGCCATTTTTTATGATCCGAGTAATTTAATGAGCTAAATAACTAAAACTGGGATCCATTTTTGAAAAAAAGAAAGAAGAAGGTAATTTCTCCATCTCAAATAAATTATCTTTTTTTTTTTTTATCTTTAAATAACTTTCGAGTCAAAACATTAAATTATGTATTTTTTTAATTTAAAATCATTTTATAAAATATTTATAATTTAAAAATGAGATATTTTAGAAAATTATAAATAAAAAATAGTGACATAACATATAATTAATGATATTCCTAATATGTATGAGAATTAAATCTTGACAATATGCTTAAGATAAAGAAAGTACAATAGATCATTTAATATGACAAGATACATGCACTCGTATACTCTCATTTTTAATATATTTGAAAAGAGAAAAAATAGATGTTCTCCTTCCTTTCACAACCTAAGATTGATCATGAAAATTATTCATAGATCTCATCTTAATGAGAAAGTCAAATCAACTTTGTAAATTATAAACAATTAATATTTGATGTTAATTCATCTAACAAAACTTTGAAAATGAATGAAACCTAAAAATTGAAACAAAGAAAATTCTAATCCTCAATTTCACGTATCTCACTAGTAAGGATAAAACTCTATTACTATTATTTCTCTAATACTTTAACTAACGAGTAATTTACTACTTTTGTACATCTCTTGTAGTTTATCTTTTCTAACTCATTACGATCTATAATATATACCCTAGTAAAGTGTTTCTATTAAGTGAGTTAATAAACCCTTTATATGGTATTAAAGCCACTTAGAGACTTAACAGTCCACAATACCATTCTTTTATTCAAACTCTCCATGATAGCTGCTGGTACTCCATCGATTAGAACCTTTTGCTTCGTCGCTCCCTCTTTCTCTACTACAATTCCAGCCTCTCTTGCTAATCAACCAATCCATTCTTAAACTTATTTATACCAACTTCATCCTATGGCAAACACGAGCTTCATCCTCTTTTACGCTGTCATGATCTTCTCCACCATGTTGATGAATCCCATTCTCCGCCTCCTTTAACACTTGACAATAACAAAACCAATCCATCCTTTGTAAATTAGGAATGCCATAATCAACTAGTCCTCATATGGATTCTTAGTTCTCTAATAGAAGTCATTTTGCCTCTTGTTGTTAGAGCCTCTACAACTTGTGAGGCTTGGTTGAAATTGATAGTCTCATATGGTTTTAGCACCGGAACCCGGATTAATCATTTAAAAAGCGGCCTCTATTGCCTTATCTAAAGGACTAGGACATCTATTCAAGCAATATTTTCAGCATAGAAAAGCCATCTTTGATGTCCTCCACTCCATTGGAGCCCCTATTCTTGTGGATGACCTTGTTCAAGCCTTGCTTTGTGGTTTTGGCATTTCCTTTAGGCCCTTCATAAGGTCAATTGAATACCATCATAAGGTTATGTCATATGAGACTCTCTATGGTCTTCACTCTACTCGAAGTGAAGAATTTCAACTCTATGATAACATTCAGCCTATTGAAGTTTCAATTTTAGTTCATTATGCTAGTCGCCAGTACCCAATTTGTGGTTGAAGACGTCATGGTAGGCATCCTTTCAATTTGGTTTTCACCCATGATTTCCTTTCCCCGTGATATACATTTTGATTCTATGAGTGTGGTAGGCTTCAATTGTAATGGTAGTGGTAATCTTGTAAATGTTTTTCTATTCCCAAAATCATGCCCATCTTCTTGCAACACCAAACATAATTCTTACTCTGTTGAATTCTTTCTTGATAAATTTTTAATCAAAGACTTGGCTTCATAGGATATTCTCCATGTCGATCCGCTTGACAAGGGCTCTACACATTCCCTTTCGATACGTAATTAGGCCACCATCCTTCAATTCAAGTCCACAGTACTTCTCTCGTCCACTTGACATGCATCGACCAAAACAAGTTCATCAAGTCTTGAAACATTCCGGAATAAATGTTCCTCGATAGATTTTTCTTTATGTCATGCTTGTAATCTTAGTAAAATTCATAAATTATCATTTCCTCGGTCTAATTATTTGGTTAAAGAACTATTAGAATTACTTTGTTATGATGTTTGGAGTCTTTTTCTTGTGCCCTCTATTGATAGATATTCTTATTATGTGCTTTTTTATGACTAATTTATACAAATATTATTGTTTATGTTTCCTTTATTATAAATCGAAGTTCTTAGCTCTTTCATTAAATTCGGGCATATGGTTGATTTTTTTTATTTATAAATCTATTAAACAATTCCATTTTGATCGGGGAGGTAAATATTAAGCATTAACCAAATGATTGAATGAAAATGGCATCTCCCAAAGTGCCTATCCCAAAACACCCGAGAAAAATAGTTGTGTCAAGTGCAAACATCGCCATATAGTTGAAACCGACCTAACATTTCTCAATCATGTCTCTATCCCCCTCTCATTCTAGATCTATACCTTGAAGCAGCTATTTATACCATCAATAGACTTCATACACCCCGCTTATATAATAGTTCTTCTTATTTAGTGCTTTTTGACACTCTCCCTTGTATAATGAATACAAAGTTTTTGGTTGCCTCCGTTATCGTTGGTTACGATCATATGCTAGTCATAAACTTGCTTCTCATTCTTCTCGCTTGTGTTTTCTTGGGTTATAATAAACTTCATAAAGGTTATATCTCTTATTCTATTTCTACTAAAAACTTATTTATCTTATGCTATGTTTTATTTGATAAACATGTTTTTTCTCTTGCCTTATCAAGTTCAAGTTCATCTATATAGTATAATCCATTTGAGACTATTGCCATGCCTATACAAGTGCCACCCTCACTTTCATTTTATCAAACTACCTCTCGTATCTCATAATTTAACTGGTTCTTTACCCACATTCAATCCATAATAGGCCATGCCAATTTAATCCAACCCACTCATTCCACAACGAACTTATGAAAATTCCTTTTCGCTTAATAAACGTAGCTTTAAACCCACAATCTTTATACCTTACTTCCTCTCTTGCTAACACACAAAACAACTCCAGCTCATTAAACCCGACCCAACAACCTCCTTTTGGCCCATTAAGCCCAAGCCTACACTCTCATCTTGTAACATTCATCGCACAAACATCATCTAACCCTCCTATATCTATTGTCATTGATCTTACTGCCTATCACGTATTATCATAGCTCCGGTCATCATCTTCTTCAATCACTTTTGACCACACCACAAAGCCTCCATAATCTCTCGGATCAACTTCTTCCCCATATACCATGCTCCCATATGCCCTTTCTCACTCCAAAGCCATGGGATCTCTATCCGGTAGAAGCATAATCCCTTCTCCAATAGCCATGGCTTCATACCCCGGCCCACCCAAACTAGGTTCTCATTTTTCAAAAAGTGCAACCGTAACTCATTCCCGAGCACTACAAAACCACATCTACCACTAACTGCGACTCCTTCACATACCATGATTACTCGTGTAAAATCAAGTCATCTAAAGCCTCACATCTACTCTATAATGGTTTCTCTAGGTGCTCTATCTTGCTATTTCTTATAAGCTAGATTTAATCCCCAATGGCATACGACCATAGTCAATAAATTGTAGGCCTTTCTTGCCAATGACATATGAAAGCTTGTTTCCTATCAATCCATCTATAATATCATTGACGATAAATGGGTTTACAAAGTGAAGACCAATTCGGATGACACTCTTGATCATTACAAAGCATGATTGGTTCTTAAAGGATTCAATCGGTGTCCTATAGTTGATCTCAATGACACTTATAATTCGATTATAAGACCTATTGTTTTGTGTCTAATTCTCTTCATAGCTATTTCTTTTAGTTAGAGGGTTGAGCAATTAGATATTTTGAATGTATTTCTTCATAGTCCATTAGAGGAAGTTGTTCACATATCTCGACCACGGGGTTTTGTTAACCCTTAGCAACTCACACATATTTACAAGTTAAAAAAGTCCTTCTATGACATGAAACAAGTGCCTCATCGGTGGTTTAGGTGCCTCACATATAAGTTAATATCTCTAAGCTTCCAAAGATTCTAAACCGATGTCTTTTTTTTTTAATCATCAAGAAAAGATTTTTTTTTTTTTTTTTGCCTCATTTATGTTGATGATTTGGTTACCACTAGCAACAATGGTAAATTGATATCCTCTCTTATCTCTACCATATATTCCAATTTTCCAATCAAACATCTTAGACGACTTCGATACTTTTTAGGGATATAAGCTGAATGAGAGGCTTATGATTTGTTCCTTTATTAACACAAAAAAGCTAGCGAGCTTTTGCAAAAGGCTAACATGCATCAATCCAATGGCTAACATGCATCAATCCAATGGCCTTACAATGCTTACTTGTCCTAACACTAAGTTACATACAACGAGTGTTAACCTTTTTTAGATCCCTCTCTCGTATCGGTCCGTGGGTGGCTTACAATACCTTGGCATCAATTGTCCAAACATCCTTTTTTTGTCGGTAAGGCAACTTAGTATATACACTTCCCTATATAAGCACATTGGATCGCTTTGAAATGAATCCTTCATTATCTTTAAGCCACAAAAGCTTATGGCTTACACTTTCAACGAGTCCTTGATTTCTCTATTGTTGCCTATACGGACTCGATTGGGATGGTGATATTGATGATCATAAAAACACATCTAGTTATACGATTTATCTTGGTAAAAATCTAATTTCATGATTTTTGTAAACAATGCATTGTTGCCCACTCATCTATTGAAGTTGAATACCATGCTTTAGCAATAGCCTACTACGAAGTCGAGTGGATTGAATCCCTCTTGTAGGAGATTGGTATTCCTATTCATCGACCGCTAGAGATTTGGTGTGATAATGTCTCGACCACTTACCTCACTAACACTCCTATTTTTCGTTCTTGGTTTAAGCACTTGGAAATTGATTTTCATTTTATGCGAGATAAGGTTTGTAAAGGTTTGCTTCGGGTTTTCTACCTGCTACCATTGATCAAATTGTCGACATCATTATCAAATCGTTATCTAGAACACCATTTCAAATACTATGATTCAAGTTGCTCGTTCTTTCGGATCCTGCTCAACTTGCTAGAGGATGATAAGGATAGAACTTTGTTCATATTATTTCTCCAATAATTTATTGCTCTTATACATTTCTTATAGTTATCTTCTCCAACTCGGCTTAGTATATAAGATTTACTCTTGTAAAGTGTTTCTATTAAGTGAGTTATTAAACCCTTTACACTTCGATATTTTTTTTGTCTTTTTTCAATTAATGTTGAAGAATGAGAAAGATTCAAGACTAAATATCATGATAAATGGCTGCATGCTATCCTTAATTTATGAAATTATTCTCTAATTAATTAGTTCTTATATTCTAATTTTGTCATTTAATTAATCTCTAAATAAAGGTTTATTCTCCAATAAGGAAGTTACGATTTACACATACATGCATTCTCATTTTGAGTTCAAAATGTCTTTTTTCACCTTTGTACCATTATCCCTATTTTATGGTGGCCCGTTTTGAAAAATCAAATTGAAGGTTGAATGCTTTGTTATTTATCCAATCCAAAGCTATGGTAGAATTGACATTAAGTCCTTAGTTAAAACTAGAGGGACAACCTTTGTATTTACTTGATATTTCAGGTCATGATTGAATCGAGTTATGGCTTAATTAATTATTTATAAAAACCAAATTAAAGTAGATGTAACTTATCTAATATTTAAGCATTCAAGTAAATTAAGCAAGACATATGTTTTAGGAAATACAACGTTATTGAGCTTTTTGTTTGAAATCACTGGTAAATCTACTGTCGAATGCATGCAATGCATTCCGATATGTATATATATATATATATATATATATACACACACATATATCCATTTGTCTTGCTTACGTCATTGCGATACTAATAGTATAAATGATGGATGGCTAAAACACTGAATTCTGCAATGTCAAGCACACTCTAGCAACAAAGAAAAAAGAGAGAGAGAGTATAACAATCATGGGTTCTGAAACAGGAATCAAAATTCCTATCGTTCATTTATCCAAAGAAAAATTGGACCCTGGCTCTAGTGCCTGGCTTGCGGCTTGCAATGATATCCGGCAAGCACTTGAGGAATTCAGCTTCTTTGAAGTAGTATACAACGAACCTTCAATAGAATTTCACAGTGAAATTCTAGCGGTACTAGAGGAATTGTTCAAACTCCCTCACGAAACAAAAAGGAGAAATACACATCCTAAGCTCGGCCATGGTTACATGGGGAAAGTCTCTGGCTTCCCTGAAGGCATGGGGATCGAGAATGCAACGAATAAAGATGAATGTCAAAAATTCACAAGCCTTATGTGGCCCGATGGAAATGAAAAATTCCGGTAAATATTGATCATGTTATTATTATAATTAAATAGTTGGGTTTTTTTTTTTTTGGCACTTTTTCCTTCAAATGATCATCTGAATCCGACATACGGATGTATATATCCTGCTATGCTAACATTAATCTTAGTTTGATTCGTATGATTTGCTTGTTTCTTTTGTTTATTTCTTTAGTGAAGTCATTCACTCTTATGTGAAGATAGCATCTGAACTACATCAAATGGTGGTGAGGATGTTGTTTGAAAGCTACGGTATAAAGAAACACTATGAGCCTCACATAAACTCAACAAATTACCTCCTGCGTCTGCTGAAATATGGAAGATCACAAGGGGAGACTAATGTTGGTTTTAAGGCTCATATGGACAAGACTTTCTTGACCCTACTTTATCAAAATCATGTTAAAGGTTTAGAGATAAGAACCAAGGAAGGAGAGTGGATTACATACCAGCCTTCTTCTCTTTCTTCATTTGCAGTCATTGCTGGCGATGTGTGCATGGTGGGTTTATGCTATTTCCTACTTTGCAAGAGTCCTCTTGCAAACGATATATATACTGGGGTAATTAATTAATGGCTCTTTATCAAGAATTGTGTGGTTTTAATTAAAAATTGTTTGGTTGGTGCGCAGGCATGGAGCAATGACAGGATAAAATCTTCTTACCATCGAGTGATTGTAAGCAGCGAAGAAGACAGATATGCACTGGGGTTATTTACATTCCTAGATGGGGTGGTAGAAGCACCAGAGGAGCTAGTCGATGATGAACACCCGTTACAGTACAAGCCCTTTGACCATCAGAAGCTTCTTGATTTCTATCAATCATACAGTGATCCAAATAAACGTGACTGCAACATTATGAAATCCTATTGTGGTGTTTAATTGATTAACAGCCGCTTATCTCTGTCTCTAAAATGCAATGTAACCATTCCGCTTTCGACATTTCATGGTGTGTTGGATTTCTAGATACATGCCTCTATTTCCTTTATTTTGCCTCTATTTTCTCGGCCAGTCTTGTTTCACATCTTGGGTGAATGATCTACCAATTAAATATTTGGCGAATGCTATGAGGTTTGCCCTTAAATATACAGTTTCTTTGGATCTCAATTGAGATATTGGTTATAGTTTTAGAGCTAATTTTGGAAAGAGACGCATGCAAAACTCCCATGCCTTAATGATTATATAGAAATTAGTGTACTTCAACAAAGGACAATCATTAAGGCATGGGGGTTTGCATGCGTCTATTTCGCCCATTGTTTCCTTTTTTTTTTTTTTTATTAATCATTGAAGCAAGGAGAAGGCACAGGGCCAAGGACAATAGCTGAGAAAAGCTCCCAGCTTAAAGCACAGAGTTCACACCTACATAAATTCAAAACAATATTGACTTAGGGCCAAAACATGGTAAAGCTGCTTTGAACAACCCAAAGTTTCCCATTAACAAAATAAATTGATGATAACAATTTTCAACATATTAAATTTCTTTTCCATTTGGAAATAAATAAAAACCTCATGTATGTTTGGATCTAATAACTTGCATAATTGCGTTGTAATATATTAGGCGTGCGTGGATCGCAACACTAATTTTCTTCGTTGCTCATTGCATATGGCAAATTGGCCTCCAGCCATTGCTATCTTGGGTCTCCAGTTTTTAATCTCTTTCCGGAGACTTGGATTGCGATAGGAGATAGAGACATGCAAGATTACATGCCTTAATTATTGGGCAATAGAAATGAAATACACACACAATTAAAGAAATCTTTGGCAACCACCTTTCATGATCAATTTAAGGAGTTGTTCGTTAAATTAAAAAAAAAAAAATGGAAAAAATAAGGCCTCAGCCGACAAAATGAGTCACTATAAGCTACACGTTGATCACCCATTTGGTGTTCAAAGCCCTTGGTCTCTGGTTGCCCTTGTTGTTGTTCAACAAATTTTGTTTGCATTCTAATTTCAATCAAATTGTTTTTTTCAGACGAATTAATTTCAATTAATCGAAAACATAATTGCATCCTGTCATGTCAACTTTGAGGAAGAAATGGATGTATCAACTACTGCTAGTGATCATTTTCTAAGTTCGAAATTGGTTGGGGTAGGTAAGGTTGATACATCTTGTCTAAAAGATTCTTCCTTTTGTTTTTCTTAGAAAAATAAATTTTATGTTAGTAAATTTATCTGGACAAACCTTTAGTAAGGCTTCAATATAAAGACAAGAAAGAAAACCTAATCCCAATTATGCAAATCTAAACATACCTGAAGATAAGAGTTCTTTTCCACATTAATTCAAAAATTAAAGATCTAGTCTCCTAAAAACGAGCCATGATCTTCAGCTTCCTATAATAGATTTCTGCAACTCAGATCTCAATCCAGGAACTTCAGAGTGGGACTCGGTGAAATCTCAAGTTTGGAAGGCAATTTCGGAGTATGGTTGCTTCAAGGCTTCGTTTGATAAAATTCCTCTACATCTTGAAAAGTCATTTCTTGATAAACTGAAAGAGCTTTTTGACTTACCCCTACAAACAAAAACGCAGTATGTTTCTGAAATTCCATTCAATTGCTATTTAGGGCAGTCTCCTCCTGCGCGGCTATGTGAAAGCTTTGGTATTGAGGATCCCAGCATCTTCAAAAACTGCAACAACTTCACCAATGTCTTGTGGCCACAAGGAAACCCAAATTTTAGGTATGTGATCAGAAAGTTCTCTTCAACTTTTGGAACTTAAGCAAAATAATTAATAGGCTTTTCGCACACGAGTTTAGTAAAATCGCCGCCGTCGTCGTCGTCATCATTATTAATGATATTAGCGATAGGTCGACAGAGGGGGACTTGACCCACAAGCTCATGCAAGGTTAGTCCAGTGAACATAAATCACTCAAAAAAAAAAAAAGGTATATTGTGATTAGTTTTTTTACTATAAAATTGAATTGAAATTGCAGTTTTGTTTAAAGTTAAAATTCCAAACTTTTGATAGACTTAATTTGGTTTATGGGCAGTGGATCAAAATCAAGTTACAATTTATAGAAGTTACAAGTTTATACAAAAATGCAGAGAGACAGTGACTTAAATTCAGTTTGTTAATGATTTTTTGCAACCAACTTAATTTTCTTTATTGTAACTCAAATTTATACCATATGCACGCTTAATTACATGTATTTACTTTCTCAATAATTGACAATTAATCTTGAAATCCTCTATATGCATTCATTCATTTCAGTGCAAAATAGTGTAACCCAACTTCTTTTTATAATTAATTCTTCATAATTTTCCTTTTGTCTTTGCAGCAAAAATATACACTTCTTTTCAAAGCAAGTATCAGAACTTGAGAAAATCATAAGGAGAATGATTTTGGAGAGCTTGAGTCTTGGAAATTACTTGGATGAACACATGAAGTCAACTACTTGTAGTCTTAGAGTAATGAAATATGAAGTGCCTGAAAGTACCGAAACAACGCATAGCTTAAAGCCTCACACAGATAAGAACTTAATTACTATATTGTTTCAAAATCAAGTTGATGGGCTGGAGGTACAAACCAGAGATGGTGAGTGGATTAGTGTGGAACTCTCACAAGATCACTCTTTTGTCATCTTGATTGGGGATTCCTTCAAAGTAAGTCACTGTCCTTACTTCTTTCCATATTCCATGAATTTTTAATAATATATTTGCTCAGGAATTGAAGTATAATATATTTGGTAGGATGAATATATTAATTAATTAAGATAAGAAGGTATAAAAAACATCGAGTTTATCAATTGCATGATTTTTGTAAGCATGGACGAATGGTCGATTGCACCCTCCATATCATCGCGTAAGGATGAGTACTGGAAGTGAGGCAAGGTATTCTGCTGGATTGTTTCGGGTTTTCAAAGCAGGTTATACAGCGAAAGCCCCTGAAGAGCTAATAGATGAAGAACATCCCTTGCTATACAAGCCATATGATTATTTTGAATTCCTTAAGTTTTTGGAGACTTGGGTCCCCAATGATAAACCCTATCAACGAGCTTTAGATGCTTATTGTGGTATGTGATAATCGTAATCACTAGTTAATTAAGGCAACTTCATGTGCTAGTTTTTTTTTCCTCCTCCTTCTAACGTGGGGTTTTTTCTCGTGTAATAATCTGGGAATAAAAGAGTGAGTGTTGGTTTGGTATTTACAGGGAAGAGCATGGCTGATGTGCTTCTTTCTTTATGTTTTATTTTCAACAAATATTAATTAAATCAATTTCTCTATATTTCTTTTTTCATTCATATTCAAGATGGGTTCAGTTACTGAGTGACTATAAGACACTTATTAATAGTCATTCCAAATCAATATCTAATTTCCTTATTTATTATATAATTTATATTCATCGCTTAAAAATATTAGCTTCTAAAATAACACTTTTTTGCTTTTAATAATAAAGGCTGTACAATGAAATTATTTTTTGCTTTTAATAATAAAGGCTATACAAGGAAATAATTTTTTGCTCTTAATAATAAGGGTATTGCGAGTCAATCTTTTCAGTGGAAACTAAAATCTAATCCGATTTTAAGTTTGCCATCCATATAAGTATTGATATGTTCAAAAACAAAATATTTTCTTGCTAATTTAGAGCACACTTTTGCTAAGAAGCATCCTCAAAAAATGCTCAATAAGAAAATTGAAAGATAAATGCTTTTATTTTTAGACGAAGGATTAAAATTATGCTGGATTGAAAATATTATCCGACTATAAAATCCTATATATATATATATATATATATATATATATATATATTTGGCCTCTCATTTTAAGATTTTATAAATCTTATTAATGAACATATATTTTAAATTGGTCAACTTTCATTTTAAAAAAAGGTTTAAAATAAATATTTGGCAAATCAATTTGTCATATATTATTTTTGGATCCCCTAGATCTTTATTTAATGACCTATATTCTAAATTTATCAAGTTTCATTAAAAAATATTTTCCAATTAATTTTATTAGTTGTCATTTATCAAAACTTAAATGCATGCATGGAATCCAATTCTATGTGTTGAGTTCTGGATATGAAGATCAAGCAATTATCTGAAGTATACCAACAGTACTGCTGCTATTGCCATCTCAATCATAAGAAGAAAAAAATCAGAGATAGGACCTGCAACCAAAATAAAACGGTTGCATATACAAACACAGTAACATATGATGATGGAGCAGAAATCTTGTTGAAAAGAATATATATTGCATTACTCAATCTCCACCATGTATTTGCTTTCATGCCATCATCAATTGAAGGTAGCTTGAACTAAGACATGAGGAACAAAAAGGAAAATTGAAAAGCTCTTGAAGGGAACCGAGGCCAAATCCCAAGGCAATATAAGGGTAAGCCATAAACTTTTAGCTGTTGCACTAGCTTGGTCTCAACATGGTTCAGCACAATATACAGCAACAAATGGGATAGTCAGAAAAAAATTATTGTACATAAGATGGATAAGTGGGGCCTAGGGTAAAGATAAGTCTCTTATATAAGTACAAGAGCCTTAATTGTTTTTTCCAAAACCCAAATTTTGAATTATATATTTTTCTTTAGTTTTCTTTATTTTATTTTTATTATTATCTTTTCATTTATTTATTTTATCTTTTTTTTATTTTTTTATTTTTTTATTTAATTTTGGTATTTACTAAGAAAAGAAAAGGAATAAAAAATACAAAAAATATAAAGATACAAAATATGAAAAAAATTATTACAGGATTGATTAGGTACATGACTGAATAAAATCAATATTGAAATTAAAACAATTAAGGATTGAAAACCCTAGAACTAAAATTACAAGATACAAGGACTCAATTAAAAAAAAAAGTACAAGGACTACAACGACATGCCTAGATGGTACAATTGAAACAAAATTAAACCTACAAAGACCTAAATTAAACATGATGCAAATGACATGAACAATTCAGAATCAACCCAAATGACTTGTTGTCCGAATCCTCTCCAACTCCGCCATAGCATGCTTGCCTTGTACCACACTATCCTTTTACATTGTTCATCTCCATTAATGGGCAAAGGGACAAAATCAGTTTGCACTTATAGCCCATACTACCGTGGCTCCCGCACTCGCACCAACCTATATAACAAAAACACAAAAACAAGCAAAACACAATGCTCATACATAAAGCACAATTGTTTTAGCTTTGTTCATATAGAACCAAAACCGACAACAAGTTAGAGAGTTTGTTCGGTTGATGGGGAGAGTTTTTAGAGTTTATGGTACCGATCACGGGAGTGAGGAGGAGGATTTGGGGATATAAATAGGGGTCAAATTTAAGGTTTTAGAGCGAGAAAGGAAGAACTATGAAAATCTTAGAGCAATTGAGAGAGAAACAATTAAGAGGAACATGAGAGGAATTGAGATAGAATAGAGAGGGAAATTATGGGAAAATAAAGAGGAAAAAAAATTATAGAAAAAAAGGAAAAAAATATAGGCAATGAGAGAATTAAAGGATTTCTAAAAACAAAAAATAGCGATTGAGGGAAATCGGGAAATTTTAGAGAGTTTAGAGGTTACAGTTCTTACTAGGCTTTTGGAATAAGGTGATTTTAGGGAAGTGTCACCAAATTAGCTTCTCTAATTTTTGGGTTTTAGAAGAACACTGTTTCACCAATTGAAGTAACGAGATCTACTGTTAGTCACTTATCCTCAACCAAGCATCTACAGTTGACCATCCGGGTAAGAGTTTGTTATTTCCTTCCTTGATTTGCAATTCTATTAGCTTCAATCAATCGGAAAAAAAATGATGGATGGCGAGTGATTTCATCATTGTCATCGGGCAAAATCTCACACAAGTAGATGAAACCAAGGGTTTTTTATTTGGAGAAAATAAAGGAAATTGGGGAAAATCTATTGAGGGGTTTAATTCGTCCGAGGGTGAAAAGGAGATGGTTTGAGGAATAGAGCTTTAAGATTGTTTGAGGGGAAGAAAATGAAAGGGTAGTATGTGTTGATGTTTTAATTCGTTCGTGGTTTTGATTTTTAAAGAAATAGGTAGCCTAGCTTCTAGATTCGAGAGAGAGGAAAGGAGGTCAAGCCATTCTTTCTAGGTGATGGTTTAGGAAGAAGGATTGAAGATGAAAAGTAGTTTACGAGTTGTGAGGTGAAGGAAGAAGAAAGGCTTAGGGATTTGATTTGGAGCGATTTAGTGGTCGGCTTAGGAAAATTATTAAGGGACTTGGGGATTTAGTTTTGGTGAAATGAAATGTTAAAGGATTGGGCTTAACCCGACCTATGTAGGAGCTTGAGCGACTAAGCTTTGGCATAGCCCATGCGCGACTAGGTTTAGGCTAGGTTTAAAGGATCATGCATCATCCGAAGGTACGGAATAAATTTTTTTTCTCTATCTAAGGCTCTCATGATCATATTGTTGAATCAAATAATCATACATACATGAATAAATATTTAAAGCAAATGTTGACCTCTTGTAGAATAGAAACTATTTATACGGAAAGATGTCATCTAAGTATCCGGTCTCTATTGATTATCTATGCAGCTTAAACACCCATAAGAGAAGCTATAAAAATTACAAAGTGCTAGCTTCAATCCTTCGTGTAGTTAATTTTTTGCTAAAAAAATCAGTTAGAGTTTTATTTGACGACCCTAGAGAGAGAGAGAGAGAGAGAGAGGTATGTGCGTTAACTCTTGCCTTAATTTTGTGTGGCAACTTTTGCCCTTAATTTAATTACTTTTTTTCATGTCTCTTTTTTTCTTGCATCTAATGCCACCTCTCCCCCTTATTTATATAGGGAATGGCAACTTCTATTTATAGGTCAAGGAGATGTTGCTATGTGAGCTTTGTCTAACTTTATCCTTGTAAACTAGGAGCCTTATTCAATAGGGTTCAAGTTTATCTTTCATCAAAATATCTTACGGGCTTTTATATTAAGCCTATTGGTTTAAACTTTTTTAATTAATTGTCAATTAATATGGACCATCTAAATAAATTGGATCAGATATTTTTAGGAGACCCACATTAGAAAATAATTCTCTAAATTATCCTTAAACCTAAATTAGGAAACTAATTTTCTTTTTAGGTAACTATCTTCTAAATTTGGAACTCGACTTTCAAATTAGAAAACTGATTTCTAAAATAGAAAAATTTTTATTTTAGGAAACTTTTTTCAAAAAAGAAAACTTTTCATTTTTGAAAAACTTTTTCCAAAATTGGTAACTTTCAAAACTAGAAACCTTTTTCAAAATATTTGCTTCTCTTTTATTATGTGAATATTTAAACGTATGCATGTAACTCAATAGGCTCCTAGATATGTTGACAATGTGTGAAGAATAAAAGACACATCTTTCATCTCTTGATACATAAATCAAGATTAATCCGTAGCAAGACATTATAACTATCCAATTTTCTATGAGGATTAATTAATCGACAATTATCTTTCATGAGCATGGTTACCATGCAATTCGATCCTTATGTTAATTTATTACAATGTGATCTCAAACTTGGTTTGTAGTCACTTCGATTATAATCATACAAGTTTTCTTTGATTTTAAAATGTCTTAGCTCTAAAGTAAACCAACTATGCTCTATTTGTATACTTCCATTGTGATCACAAATTTCTTGAGCGGACATTCATTAAAAAGCAATATGATAACTTTTTTAGCATATAAGGAATGACATATCATATCTTAGCCATCCACTTATCTCTATTAGATTTCTTGAGCGAGACATTCATTAAAAAGCAATATGATAACTTTTTTAGCATATAAGGAATGACATATCATATCTTAGCCATCCACTTATCTCTATTAGATTTCTTGAGCGGACATTCATTAAAAAACAATATGATAACTTCTTTAGCATATAAGGAATGATATATCCTATCTTAGCCATCCACTTATCTCTATTAGATTTTCAATGCTTCCAACGAATCACCCACATGCAGCTCTTGATTAAGCCCATCAAAATAAGTATCAAAGTATATAAATCATCTAATGAGATAATTGTGATGCTTTAAATCAAAGGACTAGTTATACCCATCTCGAATGAGGTTCCCATAGACTAAATCAAATGGGTTCTCATGACGAGTTATATCCAAGTGATATGTTCTCTCACATTAATCACCTAAGTGATTGCTTTGGCGTCACCATGCTAATAGGTGTCGGATCTCCTATAGCTATCTTATAGCATGAGCATAGCACTCACAAGTCTTATCTCAAATAGTCAATATCCATTCTTAACAATGTCGTGACTTGGGACATTTAATAATATCATTTAAGTGCATAATATTATCTCACATCTTTCAATTAATCATTTATACAATGTAGAATATATGAACTTCTATCTAATTTTATCAAATTATAAATAATAAAAATTAATAGAAATACTTTTTTTGTTGATATAAAAATGCAATATTACAATACATCAAACCATCCAAACAAAGTTAGATCTTAAGCACCTATACTAAAAAGGCTTAGCCCAACCCAAGCTCAAGAGTAAAAGGGAAAGGCTGACTTGTTTAGCAGGTCAATCCAACAACCTAGCAGGCTAGGCCTAATGGGCCTAACTTAATGGATCGAAGGCCCACTAAGCTCAAAAAGCCCAATACCCCATATTTTAGCTATTTTCTTGGGTAAATTAGTACTTAATTTTTAATAGATGCCTTTTATTTATGCTCATTTTAGATGTAATAATTTTGAATTTTCAAGTTTCTTGTATTTATTTAATTGTTAAATTTTCGATAATTAAATTAGGTAATTAATAGGTGAACGAATCGTCGAATCTCTAAATTTTTAGGGATTGATGACAATTCTCCTTTAACAAAAAAAAATGAAAAGAAAAAAATGAATGATACAAAAAGAAAAAAGAAAAAAAATAAAGAGAAAGTGCTAGGTGAAAAATGATGAAAAAAAGAAACAAAAGAAAAAAGATAAAAAATACTAGGTGAAAATTAACCAAGTCTCGCTATCTAATAGGGATCGATGCTAACTAAAATCAATCATATTTTAGTAATTAGGTCATTCTCCAACATATCGGTTATGTCGAGACTTAAATTAGATTCGATGTTGAATTGATAAGACTTTCAACAATAGGATCCGATAATCAATTCAATATGATATCTTAAACATAATAATAAAAAAAATTAATTTGCCTTAGGAAATAAAATTTAGAATTTTGACTTAGGATTAATTTTAGCAAAAATAGAAATTTTTAGGAGATAAACTTTAGGAATAAACTAGAAGTGGCACCTTCCTTAAAACATGATGCCTTTGGGTGTTTGATATCTTTCTAAAAACATAATCAACTCCTTATTCTAGAATCTCTGGACCAATATCTATTTTAGTTTCCTAGTTACCTATAATACTAGGTGATGATTTCTAAAATTAATAATAACTCATATCCTCAAACACAAAAACTTTCAACAATAAATAAATTATAATTTTTTTGGAGTCCTGCGAATGCTAGGTAACGACAGCTTTGGTAATCCGTCCACATTTTAATTATTAGCCGATTGAATCTTATTTTTATTTTGGTCATTATATTAGACATTCAAAAGGATATTTAGTAAATTAAAATTTTATTTTTATATATTATTTTTGAATCATTTAAATCTTTTTAACGACCATACATTCTAGGTTGGTCAAGCATCATTAAAAAAAAAGGGCAAATAATTTTATTAATTGTCATTTATTCTTATGATATTTTCCACCAAAACATTTCAAATCTAGTTTTCCAATTAATTATCTAGAAATAGAGGATTTAACTCCCGAAAGGATAGAGAAAAAATAAGATAGGTCCTCTTCGAGCTCATAAGCTTTCAAGCCTTTAAGTCTTTTTCATCCGCTTGAAGTGTCCAAAAGGGTTAAATATACCTTGTGCTCCTATACTATATCAAAAATATTGTTACAATCTTTCTACTTAGATTTAATTTATAACAAACCTTATACTTTTGGATATTGGTGCAAAACACTCCAATCGTTAACTTTTTTCATCATATTGATCAATTTTTATTAGTTGATTAACGTTTGATCAATCAAGTAGTAACACGTGTCAACTTAAAAAATATATAATTTTAAAAATTAGTTTTTTAAAAGTCTATTTTTTAAAAAAAATTACAAAAATTAAAAATTACAAAAAAATTCTAAAATTTTTTTAAAAAAATAAAAAAATTCACTTTTTTTATGATTTTATAACATTTTTAATGATTTTATAATTATTATTATTAAATAAATTTTAAAATATGTAAAGAATATTTTTCAATTATTAGTTATTTTATAATGATTATTAATAAATAATTTTTTAGTAAAATCTAAAGAAATTTTAATGATTATTAATTATTTTAATAAAAAAATATTATTAATTTTTTCAATTTTTTTTAAATTTCCTTCAGATTTTAAACTAATTTTATAATGATTATTAATTATTTTAATAAAAAATTATTTAAAAATAAAAATTTTTGAAAAATTTCTCTAGATTTTTTTAAAATTTTCTTTATTAGTAATTATAATAAAATCATTAAAAATTTCTTTAGTTTTTTTACTTCTTTTTTAATAATCATTATAAAATCATTAATATTTTTAAAAAATAATTTCTTTAGATTTTTTTTAAAAAATTTAATGATAATTATTATAAATTCACTAGAAATTAAAAAAATCTGATTATTTTATAAATTTTCTTTAGAATTGTTTTCAATTATTAATGATTTTATAATAATTGTTAATTATTTTAAATTTAAAAAAAAAACTGATTTTAAATTAAAATTATATTTTAATCCTTAAGTTGACGTGTGTCTCTATTCAATTGATCAAATGTTAATCAATTAACAAAAGTTAATCAATCTAACAGAAAAAAGTTAAAGAATGAATTACTTTGTACCAACATCTAATAATATAAAATTTGTAATCAACTATTTGTGGATAGAATGATTACAACAATATTTTAAAAATGATTACAATATTTTTCATATGGTACTGGAGCTCATGGTATATTTGATCTTGAAACATAAAAACTCTGTTGGATCAAGCTTAGCACGTGCCTCTGTAGAACTTTATTTCAACACTACGTGGAGAGATTAAAGATATTTTCAAAGTGTTCATCAAATCACCAAATCAAGCTAAACAAAAGCACGCCAAGTTTTCACGTGTTCTTGTAAAGCACCAAATGTTCGACTTATCAAGAGCCGGAGTCTTCAAATATTCTGATGAAGGAAAGAAATAAGAGAAACGACGATTCTTTCTGAAGAATTTATATATTAAAGATTGTGCCCGCGTACATAACTTTAATAAAATTAAATATTTTTTGTATTGTTGTCTTGTATATTTTTCAAGCTAAAATTCGTGTATATAACTATATTCTAGCAAGGCTGACATGCCTGAGTTGAGAAATTTTACATGTATGATGGGAGTCCTGAGTATGTCTGTCACTCGGGTGGTTGGGGTCTGGGTCGGTGTGAATTTCTTATTCTCACTTTTATTGCTTAATTTGCATTCCTTTTCCTTTCTGAAGGAAAGAATTGTCACTACGCTTTGTGGAAAGAGTAGAAATACAAATTCAATATGGACAAAAAATTGGTGATATGGTTGCATATGATAACGAAGAAATATACGTATGGCAATGAAACTGCCGTCGATAGAATTAATTATCATTGGTCATTAAGCTGTTTCTACCTGTCTTTATTAAAAGAAGTATCCATTAGATTCTACGAATCATTTACTTCAAAAACATATATTGATATAGCTCTCTTCCTTTCTTATTCTGGAGAAACAAAGTAAAGATCTAGATAGTATCCTCAAAATGAGCTCCGAAACCTTTGTTCAGCTTCCAACAATTGATTTCTGCAACTCAGATTTAAAGCCAGGCACTTCAGAATGGGAGTTACTCAAATCTCAAGTTTGGAAAGCAATTTCTGAGTATGGTAGCTTCAGGGCTCTTTATGGAAAAATTCCTCTTCATCTTCAGAAGTCATTTCTCGGTGAAGTGAAAGAGTTTTTCGACTTGCCCCTTCAAACCAAAAAGCGGTATGTTTCTGAAGTACCCTTTGATAGCTACTCTATGTCTATACTTCCTGCGTCGCTACGTGAAAGTTTTGGCGTTGGGGATCCCACGACCTTAAAAAACTGCGAGGACTTCGCCAATGTTTTGTGGCCACAAGGAAACCCAAGTTTTAGGTATGTCATCACATTATTCTTTTCACCTTTTGGATCCAACTCTATAAATCTTAATTATAAGCGCATCAAATCTAGAGGGACAGTGACTTGAATCCAATTTATTAATGTTTTCGTTAACTATAAAACTTAATTATCCTTTTGTTTATAGAACTTAATAATTATTGATATTCTTGTACTACTTATAAGAAATGTAGTAACCCCAATTCTATTATATTAATCGGGATTTTTCATATATATATATATGTTTTAGGATAAAATTAATATATTAATACTTTCGTACGCTCTTTCCTTTTTGGTACCAGCTAGCTAGCATATGGTTCACGTATTTATTTGGTCATAAACTTCCTTTTGTTTTTGCAGCAAAAATATACACGCTTTTTCAAAGCAAGTATCAGAATTTGAGATAATCATAAGGAGGATGATTTTGGAGAGCTTGAATCTTGAAAACTACCAGGATCACCACATGAACGCAACCACTCTCTTTCTTAGAATAATGAAATACCATGGAATGCCTGAAGGTACTAAAACAACGGATGCGTTATCTCCACACACAGACCAGAATTTAATTACTATATTGCATCAAAATCAAGTTGATGGGATAGAGGTACAATCCAAAGATGGTGAGTGGACTAGCGTGGAACTGTCACCAGATCACTCTTTTGTCATCTTAATTGGGAAATCCTTTAACGTAAGTCCTGTTGTTTCCATATTCCAAGAATTTCTTTGATGATGTATTTGGATTGTAGAAGTACTAGGAAATTCTTCAGACTTTCTTGAAAGTAATTAAGCATGCAGATTTAGTTAGTTTTAACAGAAGTTGTATTTGTAAATGGATTTGGTTTTGTCAGGCGTGGACGAATGGTCGACTGCGTGCTCCATATCATCGCGTGAGGATGACTGGAAATGAGGCAAGGTATTCTGCTGGATTCTTTACGGGTTTCAAAGCAGGTCACTTTCTGAAAGCTCCTGAAGAGCTGATAGATGAAGAACATCCCTTACTGTACAAGCCCTATGATTATTTTGAATTCCTTAAGTTTCTAAAGACTTGGGTTCCCAACGCCAAGCCATATCAGTGTGGTTTAAAGGCATATTGTGGTGTGTGATCATATTAATAATGGCAAAGCAACCTATATATGCGATTGGTAATTACTACTTTAATTCTCTAATGTGGGTTTTTATTTGTATAATAATAAAGTAGTGAATGTTGGTTTTGTATTACAGCAGAGCATGCTGATGTACTTCTATTATATGGTTTATTTTCAATAAATATCGAGGAATGGTTAGCTTTTGTTCAAAAAAAGGAAAAAAAATCGAGATTAGATTAATAAAAATGATAGCCAGATGGCGGCTGGCAAATTTACAAAGTACGTTTAGTAAAACATATAAGAGATGAAACTAAAAAAGTGAAGAGAACTAAAACCACGCTATAAAATCAGTATTTCTATAGACTACCCCTTGCTAAAGAATCCGCCACTGCGTTTTCTTTTCGAGAATATGAGTAAAGAAACAGTATCCAAAGATTTAACCATGGAGTCAATGGATTTGAAAATACTGTAAAATTTTCATGGTCTAGCAGAGACTCCCTTATTCATCCAACTAATAGCATTAGCTGAGTCCATCTGATTCAATAATTCAGTTTACTTGATAGGCATAGCCAAAAGAGGTACTGATCTCCAGAGCATTCTTGATTGCTATAACTTCGACATCATTTAATTCCTTGATATCTGTTGGTATAGAAAAAATACATATGAAAATTTTATCATGATTTCTTTAAACTCATCCAACGCCACAGAGTCCAAGCTTTTCAAAAAAAGAACGATCAATATTCCATTTCAAAGAGCCTAAGTGTGGTTTATTCCATTGGATTGGTGGCCGACATTTTAGAAAATTCCTCCACATCTTGATATTATCAGAACGATGCTCAAGATCGTTACCTGTACAAACAAATGTTCATCCAGGTATTTTGCCCAATAAACCACCCTATAAAAAACTAGAGAGTAGATATGATCTCAATTAATCTAGCCTAATATTATTGAAAACCAAGTAATTCCTTGCCGACCAAATTGACCAAAGGACGGCATAAAAATTAAAAACCGAAACTTTCTTTTCATTTGTCTATAAGAATAGAATTCCTGTTAGAGGCGTAATGTGCTCACAAATATAAAACTCAAACAACAATATATTGATATATATATTGATTATAAGATAAATATCACACCCACTTATTTCTACTTCTCTCTTTCCCTAGCTACTGCTAGTCCCTAGCTGCTGCTCCCTCTAATTTTTCCTCTCTTTTTTTCTCTCAATTTTTTCATGCTCATATTAGAGCATACGGGACCTATTTATACAAAAACTTCACCTCTTAATTTGGGATATCTTGACAGCTACACAAAGTCGACAGCCACAATCCTTCACCGACTTTGCATTTCAATTCCAACCCATGTATAGCTCACGAATAGCTACCATGTTCCAACCCATGCATAGCTCACGTACAACTGCCATGTTCCAGCTCATGCAATAATCAATTGGCAGCCACTTTTGACCACCACCCATGTATATGAGTTTGAATTCTAGCACTCCCCCTCAAACCCAATTTTGCATGTCAAGTTTTTCTTTGAGTTTGTGAAATATGTCGGTCTTCAAAGGCTTCGTAAAAATATCTACAAGTTGATCCTCTCGTTTTGCAATAAACTAGCTCCACAACTTTGTTCTTCACTTGCTCCCAAATAAAATGATATTTTGTGTCTATATTTTTGCTTTGGCTATGTGATATTGGATTCTTTGCAAGTGATATAACAGATTTATTATCGATGTATATTGTAGTTGGACCTTCTTGTTCATGATATAACTCATTCAAAGCATTCTTCAACCATATTGCTTGACACGTACATGCTATTACGGCTATATACTTTGCTTCATATGTCGAGAGAGCAATTGTTTGTTGCTTCTTTGATGACCATGAAAATATCATCGATCCAATATGAAATGCATATCTAGAAGTACTTTTTCGATCATCCAAGTCTCCACCATAATCACTATCCGAGTAACCAATTAACTTTGAATATTGAGAAGATGTATAAAATAAACCATGATCCGTTCTACCTTTGAAATATCTCAAAATTCTCTTTGTTGCAATGAAATGATCTTGCTTTGGCTTCTTCATATATCTACGTGACCGATCCAATCGCGTACATAATATCTAGGCGTGTGAAAGTCAAGTACCTTAAACTTCCAACCAAACTCTTAAATAGTGTTGGGTTTACAAACTCTCTATTTGAACCTATTCTTAACTTCATGCTTGCATCTCGTTGGTATAGCTACTAGCTTGCAATCCTTCATTCTAAACTTGTTCAAAATTTATTCCGCATACTTCTTCTATGACATAAATAGTCCATCTTTCATTTGTTTTACTCGATTTCAAAAAAGTATGACATTTCACTAATATCCGTCATTCAAATTCTTTAGTCGTAGCTTTCTTAAAATCACATAATATACCCGGATTATTTCTCGTGAAGATCATATCATCCACATATAGGCACACAGATCATGATATCACCATCTTGATTTTTCTTCGTGTACAAGGCATGCTTATACAAACTTTGTGTAAAACCATTCTTCTAGAAATACTTATCCATTCTTGTGTTCCAAGCTCGCGAAGCTTGCTTTAATCCATACAAGGCTTTCTTCGATCGGTAGACATTATCTTCCCGTCCCTTTTTAATATATCCCGGTGGTTACTCGATATAAACTTCTTCTTCTAGGCAACCATTTAAGAATGCTAATTTCACATCCATCCGATAAATCTCCCATTTATTTTATGCTACGACCTCTGCGAGAAGTCTAATAGTATCAATTCTTACAATTGGAGTAAACACTCCTCATAGTCAATTCCTTATATCTATTTATAGCCTTTAGCAACTAATCTTACCTTATATATTTTCACTTTTCCTTCGGATTAGTCTTTGTCTTGTACACCCACTTGACTTCTATTACCTTATGTCCTTTTGGAAGACTAGTTAATTCCCATGTATCATTTCTTTTGATTCCAGTAATTTCTTCATTCATTGCCTTCGTCCACTTCTCCTCTTTAGTAGCCTCTTCGTATATTATTGGATCACACTCCACTATTAAACAAAATAATGAGCAATCGAATATTATCTACATAGGCTCTATGGAATCATAACTATCATTTAGACTCCGAAGGTTTTCGGGTGCTCCCTTTGAATTGTCGCTACTACTCGTCGCTTCCTAACGATGTTGATGGTGTTTATCGAGGAGTTGTTGAAGTCGGACTTTATGGAGGAGTCCGGTCATCACCTTGTTCATTTTGTGTGTCGAAGTCATCATCATTGTCATCATTAAAAAATAGTCCTTAAACTTCTTTCTCTTCTTTGTTCCATCTCCAAGTATCTGCTTCATCGAATTTAACATCTCGTGAGATGATCATTTTTTTGATCAAAGGATTGTACAATCTATGTCTTACTCCTTTTTCTCATAGCCAATAAAGATACACTTCTCTCTTTTATCATCTAACTTTTTTCTTTTCTCGGTCGGGAACACGGGCATATGCAATGCACCCAAATATCCCGATATGTCCAACTCGTAAGCTTGCTTCCTCTCCATGCTTCATTTGGCATTTTGAATTTTATAATTTTTTTTAGACATTGATTAAGTAAATAAAAAACGCATAGAACGGCTTCAACTCAAAAGGTTATCGGTAAGTGCTTTCCTTTCACCATGCTTCTTGCCATATCAAGAATCGTGTAATTTTTTCTTTCGCAACATCATTTTATTGTGGTGTATATGAGGTCTGTCATGTAATGAATAATTCCATTTTCTTTGCAGAAACCTTCAAATAACTTTGAGGTATACTCACCTCCTCTATCGGACCTAAGTATCTTCGGGTACTACCTATTTTATTTTTTTGCCATTATTCTAAACTCCTTAAATTTATCTAGGGCTTCGATTTTTCTTTAAGAATATACACCCAATTTTTTCTATTGAAATCATCAATAAAAGTAAGATAATACATGTTTTTCCAAGTGATGGTATATCAAATGAACCAGCTATATCCGTGTGAATAATCTCCAAAAACCTTCGGCTCTCCATGATTTTCCAACTTCAAAACTTTATCTATATTGTTTTCCTTTAACATAGGCTTCACATAGTTGATCTAGTTGATTGATTTCTGGATGTCCATTCACCATCTTTGTTCTCCATAATAACTTCGAGTCGGTAAATCCAAGATGACCAAACCTTACATGTCATAACCATGATTCATCTTTAATGCGGACATCATGCACTTTAGCACTTCGTATGAATATCAAGTGTGAAAAGACGATTCTTTATCATATCAACTTTAGTAATTAATTCTCCACTTATATTGATGATAAGAGAGTAATCCTTCAATTGTATATCATACCTTTTACCGAGAGCTAGCCAAGGCGGATGATATTGCTTTTCAAAATAGGTACATAATAAGCATCATGTATGTACCTCCTTTCTCTATTTTTTAAGGTAATCATAAGCTTACCTTTGCCTTTAATTAGAATCTTTGATGAGTCACCAAAAGTAACTTCTCCTTGGATAGTCTCATCCAAATTTATAAACAACTCTTTTTGACCACACATGTGGTTGCTGGCATCGATGTCGAGATACCAAATATTTTTCTTGCACTCTTCATTTCCTTTATAAGTTAGAAAAATAGTCAATTCAACTTCTCTGTCTTCTATCGCTACAAAGTGATTTGTTTCCTCCATCTTTGGAGCTAATCTCGCCTTTATAACCGAAGTGGCCATACGTATTACAATTATAACATTACAATTGTGATTTATCACCTCATTATTAAAATCTACCTCTTCCTCGATTTCCGGATCCTCGATCATGACTAGATATTTGAAAGCCTTCATTTGTTTGGCCTCTTTCAAAAGAGTTTCTACCACGTCCTCGTCCACCACGTCCACCTTTGTAGCCACCTCTATAGCTACCTTGATTTCCTCTACCTTGTCCATGATCGCTACTAGCTTGATTATCATTAATATATAAGTTGCTTTGTAAAGCTTGCTCCAGATTATCGGTATTTTCATTTTGGTTCATTCTCTAT